TTTCATGAGAGGCGAAATAACCGTGTTGCGTTTGGCTTTGCTGGCTTTACTGGCTTTACTGCTCCTTGGCTGACGTGGTCTGTGTGTGACTTTCAGCCGCTCTTACATACTCCAAACCCCGGCTAGCGACCTTCTGGCACTACGCCCGAGTGGAGCTGGTCCCACCGAGCCCAGCTGAGATCCCCAAAGCCATAGAAGCTGTAAAAGGTCTGATCAGGAGCTATCAGACGGGACGCCTGGGACAAACTACAGTGAAAGTAAGTTTGAACTGAGTCGATTAACCTCTGTTGACCTTTTAGATTAACTTGGCTGCACAGAAAGTAGACCTTGAAGGAATGGCCAGCCTGTAATTTGTAATGAACATGTCTCAACATGGAAGATGTGTGCTTCCATGTTGCTGTGAGAGTTCAGGGCCCTGAGTGATTCGATTTTATATTGGGCACCAGAAAGTACCTATTTTGAATATTTACCAGTAGGTTGTGAATTTTGCTTGAGGGTCATTCCAGATGAGTTCATCAAACACCTCGCACCTATTTTAGGGACTTTAAGCATCCTTCTATGCTAACTTTAGCTACACTTGTGAGAGTCCATATTCATATAGCCATGGCACGAGATATTGCCGTAACATTTGAGGGCAATTTAAGTAGTTTATGTAATTGGGAAAAACAATATATTAGGTTTTTAAAAAACCCTACCTTCATCTATTATTCTTTTAAAATAAAATGTAATATCTCACTGTAGGGACCTGAAATCCCCATTAACTTTGCCCTTTTCATGCAAATCTGTGATGGTGAGGTGGGACTTTTTTTTTTTTTTTTTAAATTTCATGGCCCAACATTGACCCTTGATACATTGGTCACTCAGTGGATATTGTGCTTTTGAGTTGGAAAACTTAAAACACTAACTGACTAACATCTTTATTAAAGCACATGTGATAGTTATTACTATCCTTTATCCTTTACAAAGTCTGTTTCACTGTCTCAACGTAAACATTGTGGGTCTCTCACAAACACAAACCTTTACAAAACGTGTTAAAGTAAAAATAGGTAAACACACCATCACAAGTGCAGTAACACCAGCTGAATAAAATGTCAACAATTAATTACAAAACCCTCTTTGTGTTACATTATCAGGCCTCATGCAGGGACTGTTACTGAGTGTGTTATTCTAGAAACATTTAAGGAGTTTTCTTGAGTGACAACTTGTTGTTTCCTTGCAGGATGCCATAAGGAATGGACTGGTGACCACTGAGGTGCTGATGTGGTTCTACATCGGAGAGTGCATTGGCAAAGGAGGCATTGTTGGATATGATGTCTGAAAAATGAACTTTTCTTCCTCCTCTTGCTTTTCCAGTCATTACATTCTCAACAGCCTGCACCAAATTCTTCCAAATAAACAGATGTTTGTATACAGGAGTAGATTTTGTGTCTCGAGTATTAATTTCAAGAGAGAACTGGGTCATATTTTATTCATAAAAGATTTACAAAATGCAAGAAACCAACGCTGAATATGTTCTACACCTATTGTAGAGAATATTAAAGTTTGCATACATGTATAATTTAGAGTGAAAATGTGGTAGTACTGCAGATGGCAACAAAACACATCTTAATTCAGGCCGCATATTTTATAGATGCTACTGCTACGTAATGATGGACATCTCCTCTCGCTCTCGACTCTCCGACATCGCGTTCACGACGTTTCCCAGGTATCTGCAGAAAGCTTGCCTTACATCCTCTGGCTCTTCTTCTAGGTTGGAGTGAATGAGCAGCAGTCTGCTTAGATGTGACGCTGCACAAGAAAATGACTGCATTAGCCCAGAGATAATGATTCTCACGACTCTCAGAGGACTGCAGCACAAGTTACCTAAAGGCAGCCGTCTGTCTTCCACTCCACTGCCAGGCTTATGGTGAGCTATGAGCAGACACTGGCTGTCCTGCAGATCTTGAGAGGAGATGAACATTGAATGCCACGTCTCTATTTCTTTGAGGTGACTTGGAACATCAGGGTTAAAAATGATCACCACACCGCTGGAGTCCTTCATGATTGCAGGCCAGCATGACTCAAATCTGTATGAAAATACATTTTACTACCATCATATTACATCGTAAGTAACAACACTTCTCTTAATTGTCACATAAAGGTAAGGATAACATCTATGCCTCCACTTACTTGAAATCCCCTGAACAGTCCCAAAGTTCAACCTCGCACGACTTGTCACTGCTGCCCTCAGGCTGTGATTCAAATTCCAGTATCCTTGAAACAACAGAAAGTAGCTGCACTTTGTATTTTTACACACAAAGACTGATATCTGTCAAGGAAGGCTATGATATTGGTTCAATCTTGTCATTGCGATGACTGATTTTTACACTAAAGTGACACTCGGAGTGGCTTAATGTTGAAAGCAGTAAAGCTCACATAGGATTTGTACCTGACTCCTTGAGTAGGTCTGTATTCACCGCCCACATTTTCTGTTGTGTCTGAGAGAAAATTTGCAAGAACGGTTTTCCCACTCTGAAAAACAGAAAAGCAGATGGCTTTAAGTACGATGGCAAAATAGTAGCACATTACCCAGCCTGACAGACGGGAATTGTTACCTCCAGCAAGGAAGTCATGTTTTTGGTAGCATTTGCATGCATGACATTCTTTCTGTCTGTAAGCACGATAGTTTGAAAAGTTTTGAATGAATTCTGGTAAAACTTTGTAGGGGTGTAGAGTGGGGCCATGTTTACAAGCTATTAAAATTTGACTTGTATCCAACAGGTCTTTGGGGTCAACTTAATGATTTACTGGTTGAAAATTGACAAAAAAGTGTTAGAACTTAGAAACAGTGATTCTTGTAAGTATTCTGTGCATTTTCAACATATAGAATGTACCATACAAAGATCTGAAATGTCACGTTTGACCTCTGACCACAATATCACACTTTGGATGCACACTAGTTTGCATCCAAATATCATGTCACATTTCATATC